ATTTTTTTTTTATATTGATATTATTTTGTATTCTTGGTATTTTTTCGACATAGTCAATGAGATAAAATATTTTGTTCTTGGGCTCTTTCTTCGTATATTCAACATCTTATTATCTTATAAGACGTTGAATATACGAAGAAAAAGTCCAAGAACAAAATATTTTATCTCATTGAGTATGTCAAAAAAATACCAAGAATACAAAATAATATCAATATAAAAAAAATACCAAGAATCTCTTCATTTACTTGAAAGTTCGTAATTTAAGTTTTGTACACTCGCGCTCACGCGATTACATATCTCACTTTTAATTACCAGTCAGTCCGCGAAAGCTTTCGCGAAAGCTTTGTTCGAATTATTCGTGCATTGTTGTACGCGTCCGACATCGCGCCGTTTCAACACGACTGTCTTTCTAAGACATCGTCTTTATTTCGTCGGATTTTACGCATGTCTGTCCGATTTCCAACTCCCTCTTTCTCTCTTTCGCGCAACCCCATCATCGGTGTTATTTCCGTAGGCGGTGTACTTCGAAGCTTTCCTCGTTGCACTTGTATAAGCGTCTCTTATGCGCCTGTCGGCTCGCTTGAATAACTACCAACTGTTGCTTTCGAAAGTATAGAAGGTGGTTTGGAAACAACGATGCGAAATATAATTTCGCCGATCTAAATGCTAGTGTGTTGATCTTTTCTTTTTGAATTTTTAAAATGTTTTTTCATATTTTTATTGGTAAAAATTTATAACGCTTTATAAAGCTTTAAAATGTACATTTTAAAGTCTTATAAAGCATTATAAATACAAAATTTATAATGATTTATAAGGCTTTAAAATGTATCTTTTTTTACATTTTTTGTATATTTTTAGATATATTATATTATTGGTATATTTTCAGTATATTGGTAGATTGATTATTTGATTGGTTATATTGATATATTTTTGATATATTTTTCTTGTTCAAGGTTTTTTTTTGTATTTCTTGTCACATTAACTAATAAGTCGGTCTTTGAATAACAAGCAAGGTTTATTTTTCTTTAAAAATATGGAAGCCAATAACTGTAAAATAAAAATTAACTTCTTAATCATAAATTAAGGAAAATCTTTAAAGTTCTTGGTGCTTCTATATTATTAATGCACAATAATAAACTATTTTCTTATAAAACAAGGAATATATTTATATATATTTATATTACATAAAACACAATAATATTCTTAAAACATAGAAAATTAGTTTATATTACATAAAGTACAGTAATAATCATAAAACACAGAAAATTAGTTTATATTGTGATTTATCAATGCGTACATACTATAATTGATATTTTATGACTATGTAATTCATTAAATTTTATCTTAGATACACACAATTAAAGTAAGCATATAAGAATTCTGAGCAAGAGCTTTTTTGTATTTCTTGTCACATTAACTAATAAGTCGGTCTTTGAATAACAAGCAAGATTTATTTTTCTTTAAAAATATGGAAGTCAATAACTGTAAACTAAAAATTAGCTTCTTAATCATAAATTAAGGAAAATCTTTAAAGTTATTGGTGCTTCTATATTATGTGACAAGAAAATTGCAAATAAATCTTTCCTTTTATCTTATATATCGATAAATATTCATTTACATAAAGGTATTTTTTTTCTTAAAATTTTTTGAAAACGTTTTTTGAAATCATGTAGCGTTCTATTTGATTTTCCAGAATTCTGCCGTCATAACGATCTATACCATGCAAAATCTCTTATTATATTTGCACAAGTTGGTGGAATCATGCTATCTTACTGTGTAATTAGCTACAATTATTTTTTTCCATATTTAAATTTCTTATATCTATTTTCGTTATAAGAATCTGTATATCCTGCAGCGTGATTGAATGCCTTTGTCCTAGTTGTCGATATTTTCCTACCGGCAATATTGTTTGTGACAGTTTAGCCTCTTTGTTTATATTTGTATGCAGATAAAAAAATATTAAATGCAAGTTTTTTCCGAAAGCGCGAATGAACGGATTTTTTTTTCTAGGGTGCTTTATATCTGCAAGATAACTTATACATTCCGAAATATTTTTGAAAAATTTTTGATTTTTGCGCTAAAGTCTTTGCTTCTTATTTACATATCCTATTTAAGCAAACTGAAAGCAACGATTTTGTATTATGCCAAATTTATTATTCTCTTTTTAAGAAAATTTTAATATATATATCGTATCGAGTGAAATCGTTGTAAACAATATTTAAACATCCCGTATTTTTTCTCGTCGACAAATCGATATGTTCGTAATTGGCGCAAGAACTTTTCATTTACGTCGCAAAGCTTTTAAAGAAAACGAGAAATTAGAATGGAAAGTTCGTTTAACGAACGAAATCACGCGGAACTCTCCGTAATGCGAATCGCGTGGAATGGAAGTAAAAATCAATAAGTAACAATGATACAACGATACAAAACAAGATTCCGCGAGTCTAATGAATTTTAAGTCATTTCCGCTTAAAATGTGACGGAAATATTTTACATACATAGCATAATTTATACAGTCTCTAATGTTACAGACGTCAACGTATCAGATAAATGAATTGTTGAAAGAATCAATGAGATTAGTTTGTTTGACGTGATGTAATAAGATAAGTGTGTATAAGAAAGATTACCGTGGTATGTGGCAAGAATATAAAAGCTCAGGTTTGCTTTGTGTTACACATAACATAAATGAGTGACACTATTCTTCATCTCAAACAGAACATTCAATCCTTTTGATATTAAACTAATAATATTCACGAGAAAGAGAAAGAGACGAGAATATACCATAATGATATATATATATATATATAACACCTTTATGTAAATGAATATTTATCGATATATAAGATAAAGGGAAAGATTTATCTGCAACTTTCTTGCCACATAATTACTATATTAAAATTTTTTGATATTAAAATTTAGAGCACGATTTTATATTTGAACATATCTTTGTGAGAAATATGAATCCAGAAAGATTTTAAAGTCTTAAAGAAGGTTAATGTCGAATTAATAAGCGTACAAACGGATGGCATCTTGCAAATCGTATTAAGAGAATTTATGTTTCTTAATTTCTTAAATTTTAATTTGAAAATTTAAATTGAAATCTACTTTAGTTGACACACAAAATATTTTTCACGTCACTTATCTGGAATGCAATAATCAATTTTGATCAATTCTTAATATTCAATCAAAAATATATCATTTAAATACAAAGATAGTCATGATGGAATTATCCTTGTCGAAAAAATTACATTCCCAATTCTTCTCATTAGGTTTCTTTTTTTTTCTTTTTTTCAGAGGATAGATACATATTCCCCGGTAGTGTGGAATTCTTGTCCTCTAAAACCTCTTTTTCCCTGGTGCTGGAGAAAGACTCCGGCAACCGCGCGTGCATTACTTCCAGGGATATAATAAGACGATCTAAGGGTTTTTAAGATAACTGAACGAAACGAGTTCACTTCACGAACGTCTAAAAGGACGGTTTGTCATTAACCAATCTAGCGTCCCATGGGCGTCGAGTTTGATGAAGACTTGAAAGTTTAACTCAGACATGTCTCAAAACTCAAAATTAGATTAACTCCTCGCTTCTATTACGAAACGAGTGCTGACAACTAGTATTACATTTGTCTTCGTTTCTCGCTGACAAACAGGACGATACAAAATTACAGACGACGCGCATTAATGTATTCTTAAGAAAAGGCAGTCCTATAACTATGAACGCGTAATATAATTACGAAATATCGCGTGTCGCATAATTACCGGTTTGCTCTTTGTTATGCTCAGAATTCTCATCAAATTAAAGTAACGAGTTATTTATTGAATATATTAAAGTTGTAAGGAAAATACAATGCAATCTTATTAATTTCATAAGAAAGCTTTGTCATAACTTATAAAAATATTAAGAAAATTTTAATCGTATTAATGTAAAATAAATACAATAAATTTCAAAATTCTTTGGATAATTTATAAGGTTATCAAAATGCTATATTAAAAAATATTAATTTTTTTCAATGAAAGTTGATTGAGTCGCTTTACGTGCCGTGAAAGTTATTTTTTTTAATATTATAAAAAAAGATTATACGATATTTCTCATATATATTTATGATATATCATGAAGGAACTTTGAGACATCCGCGGCAGTTTTCAATTTCGAGCGGAATTGAAATTCCGCACTCTCATCCTTGATGTACTTTTCATTTCAATATAATTTTCATTTTCGATATATTTTTCTTTGAAAGTTTAATTAATATAAATTAAGAAACTTTATTTTTATTTATCGAATTTTAATAAAATATCATATTATAATAATACTTACGCGAAACACATTTAACCGCAATAATCGATAGTTAAGCGATCGATAAGATATAAACTTCGAATAGATGAACGCAAACATTTGATATTTCGACGTCGATTGGAGATCCGCCTTAGTTCCGAGATTCCTTAAACCCGCCGGACTTTTGCAATGACAGTGATAAAAATCGCTCTGATGGTCATAGATTGCGTTCTGGAATTCCGTAAATCGGGCAAGAGTCGCGAAGAACAAACTACGCAGAATTCGCCGTCGGGTTCTTCTCAAACTCGCAACGTTGAGCTGCGGATTCCCACGGAATGTGGCAAATATCTTAAATAGGATTTTTCGCTGAGGCGGTGAAATAAGCTTGAAGAATGCCGCTCCAGAATGCGTGTAAATAATACTGGGCTAGAAGTCCGTAATCTAAATTTTTACCTGACAACTCTATAATTATGTTATTTTATATGAATAATGCAGTGCGCAAAAATTTTTAATCTCTGTAAACTTTGTAAAGGAGTTTATTTACTTTCAAATAATTTTGAAAAATATCTGCATTTTATTTTCTTAAATCCAGTTACATTTATAATTCGAAAAGGGAAAATTTTAATAGTAGCCGATATTAAACCGTGAAATGTGTCTCGAGCGTTTGCATTTTGTTTATGTTTCTAAAGTTCACGCTCTAAAGCACCCAAATTGAAATAAGGCTTCTTACCTAGAGAAATCAAGGAAGCGTCGGAAGAAACGAATTGCATTATCTTGAATAAGTTTCATGATGTGATCAGCCACCGTTTTCTCTCCCAATTGGCCTTTCAGCATTCCCTTTCCCACAATCGTCTATAATTCTCTTATTATTCTTGCATGGGTCGGCGATCTTCCGGCGCTCTATTGGATCAAGTGTAAGCTTATCGACACTGAATCTGATGGCCACTTTCGTAATTTGAGTAAAATCCGCCAAATCGCCGGATTCTTAAGTCCTAATCCGATCATTGTTACGCGTGACGCGAATTCTTTTCACAAATGGGGTTAGACACACGCTTGCCATTTCAGTATTCATTACATCTCGGCATAATGTCGCAATTTATCGAAGAAACCTTATATGAGAATTCATAGGGGACTCGAATGTGCTTTTTTTCAAGTGCGCAATTCTGGTGAAAGCTCCTTATGGGTCGGCCACGTCGTTCAATCCTTTGGGATAACATCAAGAAAAGAGATATATCATTTTCTATCTGAATAAATTTCAATGTGATATATATATACGGGATAGTTTGTTATATGTTTTATATATGAATATAAATCTGGAGATTGGATTCTTTGTAGTCATAGTGTAAAACATTGACTTAATATTGACTTGACAAAAAATTATTTAATATTGATTTAATAAAAAAATTGAAGAAGTTTGTATGTGTGGCGAATACGAGAAAATGTGTATTGCGAAATTTAATTAAAAACAATTTCGTTGAAACAATTGCGACTAATAAGAAGAAGCCATACGATTTCCATTGCGAGCCGATATTTGGTATTTGGATGGTTCATTGTTAATTAACAGATATCGTGTAGTTAGAAGGGATCCCGTTAATTAATTACTAATTGATACCGTTTGGAATGCACTATCGCTCGATTATCTGCGTGTATATAATAGATTTTCTATAATACAACTATATACGACATACAATAGTATTTGCCATTCCTCATTTGACAATTTAGTTTGTAAGGCGAAATTTCAATATATTTCCACACATAAACATACATACATGCATGTGTATTAATAAATTGATTTAAATTTTATTGAATATTAGATAGATAATATTTTATCGTATAAAGATAATAAGATAAATATCAATAAAAGATGAGACCTCACCGATTTTTTCATTTTTATATATTATAAATGGTAAATTTAATAATATGATAATAAATAGTAGATTTAAAAGAGAGAGATTATTATATGTACTTTTCAGTGCCCTTTTATTTTATTCGGTGAGTCTTTCAATATTTTTATTCAATAAATCATTCAATATGCTACTCGAAGCTCTTAAGTTAAATCCTCTAATTTGTAAAATAATTCGGTACGATTGACGATTATTATTCGGATTATTAAATGCAATTAAATTTTGAACAATCTAATATAATATAAACAAATATTACAGTCCAATACAACGACATGAATCATTTAAAGTTTAACGGTAATGTTACAATCAAACTGCATTGCATACTTTAAAACTATTCAGGTTTCAAGAGCATATTAAAGCTATAAGTATTAGTAAGAATTTTAACGAGTATAACTTGAATGAAATATCATTCATTCCCATTCAACTGATATCCAATCCTCCGGCTAAATTTTTTTTTAACTGTTCTATTTATATAAAACGATAGTATTTTGTTTGTAGCTATTTGTAGTAACAATATTTTCATTTGTAGTTCAAACCATTAAAAAATAAAAAATTTTTTATAAATGACTGTCACCCGACTTTAAGATAAAGAAAAATTGTTGATATATCTTGATTCAGAATCGTTTGTAGTGATTTTGCTTTCGTTTGTAGTTGAAAAGTTTAAAAGTTACAACATATTTGCAATAAACAAATAATGTAACTTTGTCAATTTTAAAGATATCTCGAATCCTTGAACAAACCATGTTTCGAACAATGACAAGAAAGTTTTGCGATAGAAACTCTAAGAAATAGAAAATCTAAAATCTAAAAGAAGTTCTAACGTAAAAATATTCCCGATTCTACATATATATATATTAAAATTTATATCCTATTTTTTTGTATTCTTATTTTCTATATATATAATTCTCATTTTATAAATATATAAAATAAGGATACAAAAA